CAATATACAAAGAGTTCAAATTCCTCGTTTTCCATCTCCCCAAACTCCCCTTTCAACAATCAACTGCTCAACGAGTCTTTAAAGAAACGGAATTCTTTGACTTCCTCATATCCAACTCATATCTTCCCTTCCGCTTTTGGGCCATTCAAAGCAGTTATAACTATTCCTGCAAATTTCTCTTCAGAGCAACGCGCAGCCACTAAAGATGCTGCAGAGATAGCTGGAATTGATGTCTTAGAATTAGTAATGGAACCCACTGCGGCGGCTATAGCTTATGATAAAACTATAGGTCTTATTAATAATAATAAATATTTGGTTTTAGACTTGGGTGGAGGGACTTTCGACGTCTCCGTCGTTGATATCAAAGACAAGAACTTCACAGTCTTGTCGACAGATGGCGACACCCATTTGGGTGGAAAAGATATCGACTTGGCAATCTTAAAGTACTTAGTCGAAAACAACCCACAACTCAATCTCTTCATTCATCCAAACGAAAACACTAAGAGATCTCCAGCAGTCTGCGCTCGCGCTCGCAGAAATCTCATTAAGAACTGCGAACGCGCCAAAATGCAGTTCTCGACGGAAGGCACAGCCAACGTCGAAATTTCTTTGGTTGGGGTCGTCCCACAGAACGCTATGGAACAAGTCTGTGAAATCGACTCGACCATTTCAGCGGAAATCTTCGAAGAAATCTGCCAACCAATTTTCGAAAAAGCAAAAAATGTTATTCAAAATGTTTTTCGCAAAAAGGCGTTGACGGTGAGCGATATCCGAGACGTCATATTAGTTGGCGGGCCGACACGATTGTGTTGCTTCAAAAAGATGATTAAAAACATGTTTGGGAAAGAGTCGCTGTCACAAGTTGATACGATGATGGTGGTATGTCAAGGAGCGTCGATTAAAGCGGTAGAGACTGAGAAGAGATATACTGATGTTGTTCCGATATCTTTGGGGATATTGAGTTATGGTGTTTTGTTTGAGAAGATAATAGAAAGTGGGACTGCCTTTCCGACAATAAATGAGAAGAAGTTTTTGACGACTATTGACAACCAAAAGGTCTTATCAGTTCGGATCTTCGAAGGAGAGAAAGATATCTGCGCGGACAATCTCAAGATTGGACAATTTGAAATCCAAATTGATAAGCCACAACCTAAAGGGTCTCCAATTATAGTTCGATTTATTATCGACTCTTCTGGTCTTTTCACTGTTGAGGCTAAGATGGAAGGGATTGGGATTTATCACTCACTCATCGTCGAAGAAAAGTCAAGAGAAAAACGACAAGAAAAAATATTAAAACTCAAAGAAAAAAGTCACAACGAAGAGATCAAACGTCAAGAAGAGAGTGTTTTTGGGATTGCAGTGGAAATTTTGATGAAACTGCGAAATTACATTGAAAAAGATGAACATTTTTTCAATTCAGAACAGAAAGGGCTCGTTGAAAATGTGAGTGAAAAAGATTGCGAAACGTTTGAAAAGACGGTGCAATTGATACAAAGTCTTTTGGAGGAATTTCAAGATTTTCCAGAAGTCCAGAAATTCTTACAAGAAGAGAAGCCAAGTCTAAGTATTGTGTTGTCGAGAACTAATTGTACTAAATAACTTTATTTTTACTATTTATTAATTTATTGGAATGGTTAAAATGTGAAAGGAGAAGATTGGATGAGATTTCAAAAAATGGAACGACAGCACATAAATTACTCGCATTTTACCTTCGGACAGTAATTGAAGCACTCAATGATACTTCTGAGTGTCGGAAGTTTTTGTTCGATGACTGGGATATTGTCAATGTCCAAATCGACGATTGAGTCTTTCATCCAGCCATACATCACGTCCGCAAACTTGCTTGGGTACTCGCACAAAATCGCTTCCCAATCCGTTTGCATGCCCGTGGGAATATGTTTGCCAACTTGTTTTCCCAATGAAGCAAGTATCGCCATCATGAAGACCATTCCGCCCGCTGCTGTTCCACGAGTCAAAGGCATGAAGTTATACCAGAAGAACGTGAATGAGTACATCGCCCTTATGATTTTCTCAAACTCGTCATTCTCAAATTTCTCAGTCTTCCTCGTTAGGACTAAGAGTTGAAGTTTGTTCCAACATGCCTCCAGTTCCTTATCGTATTGGGTCCATCTTGATCTTTTGCATGTTGTTTTGATGGCAAAGTCATACCCATACGGTTCTTTCATTTCAGTGACGAGATTTGTGCCATCATACACAATTCTCTCTCCAGTCTTTGGATCATCAAAGTTGTCCGACCGGCATGGCGTAACGACTTGGAAATTACTTTCAACGAGTTTTAAGATGTCGTCGATATTCTTCGCTTCTTTCACACGTTTGGCCCATTCAGGTTTTAATGTGACCTGTTCTGGTAAGAGCTTCTGGACCAATTTAAATGCTCTGTTGTATTGACAGAAGTATCTGATAACTCTCCCTTGTCCAGTATACATTGGGGTATGCGCACCAAACCCTTCTTCAAATTGATCCGGAGTTAATCCGTCAATCCAAAAGACTGGATCATTTGGTTCACTTACTTGTCTCCACCTTGTCGATATCTCCATCATTTCTCTCCATGTGATTTTACCAATTTGTTTTTGCGCTTCTTCTTGTGTCAACCCACCCTTTGCCCATTGCGGTATCCTCGCTCGAATCAATTTTCCAATTTCGATTGCAGACATACCAGCCATCAAATATTGTGTGACGTTGTGTACAAAACCTTGTGACTCATATTGCATGTACTTTCCAATGTTCATCGCTGGGTACAAAATCTGTTTAATGACTTCCTCAGAAGGGACATCGTTTTCTGTTATGTCTTTGACGTTATCATCAAACCCTGGCTGTTCGTCGTAACGATGCAACGCTGCTGGAATCAAGTGTTTACAAAATCCTTCTTTAAACAATGGATCGAACGAGTCTAAGTTCCACTTTTTGAATTCCTTATCAAGCATATGATGGGTGTACATCGCGACTTCTTTCATATACCAGGCAGAGTCGTCGCATTTGATTTCACTGGCTTCGTCAAAGTCCTTCGCAGCCTTTCTAAACTGTCCAGAGCCAGATTCAGTGACTCCTCTATATCTCCACAAGTCGACGACTTTATCCGATTCAGTTTTCATGCCATATTTCTCATCATTCATATTAGCAACAGAGATGTCAAATTCCTTTGTTGCTTCAATGTGATTTCCAATTTGTTGTAACATGACTCCCCTCAAGTAATGTGCAAACGGGTGTTTTGGTACTTTATTAAAAATGATTTTAAATACTCCTTCAGCGCGTTTTGGTTGTCCGGCGTCCTTTTCCAATTGCGCCAAGTTCACATAACACTCGACAAACTCGGGATTAATCGACACGGCACGACCAAACCCTATGAGTTAAATTCTTGTGTTGTTGTGTAACAATGAGATTTACAAATATATACTATAAAGAATAAAAACAAACCTTCAGCAGCTTCTCTGAATAACCCAAGAGCTGTGTTGTTCAACCCAAAATGGTTCCATGAGACCGCATCTCCCGGCATCTTTTTCACAACAACTTCAAAGTCGTCTCTTGCCTTCTCATAATTTCTCATCATTTGATGGACAATGCCTCGTTGCTTGTATACATCCGGATCTTTTCCTTTCGACAGTTTAACAGCTGCGTCCATATCAGCAAGCGCTTCCGGCAACTTTCCAATCCCAATAAGTGTCTGTCCTCTTCTTTTATGTGCGTCGAAGTTGTCCGGGTCTAACGTAATAGCAGAACCGAAGTCCGCAACAGCTTCATTAAAAGCGCCTCCCATAGCAAGTGCAGTCCCTCTTGCAATATATCCTCCAGCAACTTTCGGATACTTCACTAAAAATTGTGTCAAGTACTTAATGGCGTCCTGAAGCTTTCCATTGTTCACTAAGAAATATCCCATTGCGAGTTGTTGATCGATCTCCGGGTCATTTGTCGCATTTGCAAAATTCTTTGGTACGCCGGTGTGTTCTGTCTCGAATGGAGTGACTTCCGATATCACCTTCCCTTCGTCGTCAAGTTCCTCGATTTTTAAGCCATTTGACTTTTTGGTGTCCACGTCTTCTTTATTGTGTTCAACAGTTTCTTCCTTTTCCTTTTCGATGTTTTGGGTGTTAGAAGACTTTTTCAAGTCTTTCATCTCCTTTTTTAAATGAGTTTGAGTCGTTGTGTTCGTTTGTTGCTCTTCTTGTTTTGGTGTGTTATGTTCTCTGTGGTGATGTCGATGTTTACTGCGTTCTCTTCGATTTTTTTTCTCGACGTTAATTGGAGTTGACACCAAAGGGATGTCTGTGGATTCCGAAGATTCTTGCGAGTCCGAAGAATTGTTATATGAAGGTTTCCCAATATTAAGAGTTCCATAGTTTCTAATCCTTAAAACTAAGAGGCCGGTGTGTTTTGAAAGTTCTTTGACCTTTTCCAAGTCGACTCCATATAAGACGTTGCGATGTTTGGAACGTGGCTTCGATTCCATTTGAAAGGGATATATTAGTTCTTCTTCAAATAATGTGTATTATCTTATGAGTTATTTCTCGATTGGTGAATCATCGGCAATTGTGTCCTTTTCTATTACTTCTGTTATTCATTTTTAGCTAAAAAAACAAGGAATTCTTGTCAATTAATCATTGTGTAATTATATTTTTGTCTTCAATGCCTTTTCTTACGAAATGGACAGGGTTTAACACATGAACTGTAAAATATCAAACCTCATGGACACCCCAAAAGTATCAAGAAGTTATCCTTCGTTAATATATTAATAATATTATTACCATAAAGTATGGTAAATTATTGCATGCTTTCTTTTCCATTTACAATGAAATAATGAATAGTTGACCGATATGCCTCTTAGTTTTCAGTGATACAATGAATTTACATTAAACCATTTAATTTAAATTACCGAATGACAACTTCCGTCCAATAAACTCATAAGCAATTACAATCCTATCTATTAAACCATACTCAGAAGTTCGATTAAATAATAATATATTAGTACACACTAGTATCTCAAACAGAACGAAGAAATCAAGAAAAACAGATTAGAGAGCTTTAAGTTCGGGGAGTCGAGTTTTATAGTTATACACCTCCATGAACTCCTTTTGAGTTGTTCCGAGTTTATCGTAGAACTGGACGGCTTCCTGAGCCATTTCATGTAACGTCTTTTTATATTTTTTCAAAGCTTCTGCTAAATACTTCAATTTATAATCAATAATCCCTAACTGCGCTTTATTCACTTGCGCTGTCTTCTCGTCTTGTAATTGAGCCACTTCAAGCTCTAAATCCTTCGTACGAATCTGCATCAATTGCACTTGACGATCATAATAATACATCTCTGACATCTTATCATCTTTTTCGTCAAGCGTTTTAATGTCGTAGATCTGCGCGGGAGACGCAGACAAGGCACTCACTATCATGACAAAAATCAACATTATGCCTTTTATAGTTACACTATTCCACAATTCTCAATCACACTTTTGTTATATATAACATTTTCATCTTCATATCTTCGAAATATAATAATTGTAATTGATATTATTAATATTCTAAAAAAATAATTTTGAAATACATCAAAATAGAAATGGAAGAGGGATTGAAATCTTTTCAAAAAATTTAAAAAAAGTATTTTTATTGTTTTTTTAAAGCAAAATCCCGAATTTGTAGAGAATAACCAAATTAAAAAAACTATTTAATTTCGACTTTCGAAATTTTTGAAAAAATTATGAAAAAGAATAAAACGAGTGTGTTGGTACCCAATAAGAGGAATTTCATCTCTAAAGTCTACAATTTAAAAAAGATGTCAGGCTTTGGTAATTTAATTGAACGAAAATTTTATCAAGTGAAATCACATGTTGGTGGTGGTGAACGAACAGTCGACTCTGATGTTCAATACTCGAAGAATAAGTTGACAGAATCACACAAGAAGTTTAAGAACATCTTAACAGTAACTCAGAAATTGGCATCAACAATTCATGCCACTAATTTAATGCAGGTGGAAGTTTTAACAACCCTAAGTGATAGTGTTCCTGAAGAAAACACTTTAATCAAAGAAACTCTTCAAAAGGTCATTAGTACTTTCCAAGTAATCGAT